GGGGGAGGAGGTTGTTTTTTTTTTGTATTGCTGTTTTTACGCTTTTGCTTTTGCTCTGTTTATTTGTTTGACACTTTTTGTTTGTTGATTTGTTTCTTTTTTTTTAGGGGAGGTTTTCTGTTGTCTTAATTTTTGTCATATTGCATCGTGTAGGCTATATGTTTTGAAATATTTTTGCTGAAAACAAAAACGGGAGGGGAGGAAAGGGGGGGGGGGCATTTTGGAAAGTTTGAGAGTATCAACAAAATCCCGTGTGCCGTGGCTGGAATGCTGCAAGCCTCTCTGTCTGTCTGGCCGGGGGCACGCGGACTAGGAGCAGCCAGTCAGCCTGCAGGGTGGTCTAAATGGTGTCGGTTTGGGCTCCAAACATTTTACAGGGATATTAGCTTTACTTTTTAGAGTGCAGGTGTTATTATGCCCCCCCCCCCTCCCTCCCCTCGCGCAATTTAAATCATTAAGGGGGCTGGCTTGGACTGTGTCTGTCAGGGCCGACCTGGGTTGATTGAAATGCAGTGCCCTAGAAGATAGAACAAGATACACGACAAAAATATTCAACAATTTTCCCCCACATGGGAATCGAACCCGAGTCTCCTGCATGCTACAGTGAAGAGCAACTTCGTTAATGAGTCGGTGTCTGTGGTTTAATGGTTGGGCTTTCTGTCGTGGTAGCAACAAACAAAAAAAAAACAAAAAAAAGACGTAAGTACGATCCTCAGTTAGAACGTTATCTTCACAACCATCGCCGTCTGTCTGCGGAATGCTTTATCCCTCCAGTCCTCGGTGGTCCTGCCAGACAGCCGCGTCATAAACGACCTAAATTGGGTCGATGGGGGAGTAGAACGTTAACGCTTAATCAGCTCTATCGATGGAGGCGCTCCATCACTTAGGCGGGATTGGCCCTGGTAGACAGTAGCCAGTCCTGTAGATGAGCTAAATTTTGTCAGTTGGGACGTAAAACATTTACCATCGATCTTGTTCGGTGGTCGGCCGTGGCTGTCTGGTATTTCTGTTCCCTACCCCCCCTCTCCCCCACCTCCGGGCCACA